GGAGTAAACTCATCTAAACAATTACGATTAAGTTATCATGGTCCACAAATGAAGACTTTCTTATTAATTTTACTTAACATACAAAATATTTAAACTATAAATATAATTATACAAATAATTACATAATTTTATCACAAATATAAATTATTAATAACAGTTCCATGACATCCCTGTCCACCACACGCATAGGTATGAGCACATGGGTGGCCCACAAAAACGACAACCGCATTCGGGAACTCCTAAACCCGGAGCCCATACTGGAGGCCAACCCGGACTGCGCGCTCGCGAAGCTAACTCTCGACGACCACTTGTCGGCCGTATTTCAGCGGCCCCTCCGATACCCCCTCCTATTGGAGCGCCTATTAGGCGAATGCCGTCCCGACTCGCCAGAGGGCCGCCTAATCGCCAAAACACTCGCCAGGAGTCGCGACATTGGCTTCAATATCAACGAACAGCTCCGTAGGGCTGAGCGGCTCATAGAGATCGACCAGAAGACCGATAGGGCTGCGGGTCTGCACCTGGATCTCGTCGACCATAACCTGGTACGGGAGGACAGACTTACGTGGCGGGTATCCAAGAGCAAGATGCTGGACGTACTACTGGTGCTCACGGACCGCGTGGTGGCGATACTGCGCCGCGAGTCTAACGGGAGGTTCACCTATAAGTATCACAAACTGCACGCGAATTCACTGATAGGCGGCGCTGGCGATGTCAAGGAGAAGGTGCAGTCAATGATAGGGGGCGGCGGCAGTAGTAATGTGAGCGGTGGGGGAGGGGCTAAGGGTAAGACACGTCACTCGCCGCTGGTCTACCTGTCCGGTGACCTAATCACCAAAACGGTGGCCACGGATACCAACGCTTTTTTCATGATATCCACGGAACAGGACGTACTCTACGAGTTCGTCGCGCCCACCCTTAATGAACGTAATTTGTGGATGGATTGCATTAATAAGGCTACCAAACAGGCCGGAAATCACCCTGGTCGATCCAGTACCAGTGTAGCACCAGCTAAGCCGGCGAGAGCACCGGTAGATGGGAGTGTGGGCGATGTGGTGGACGACGAGCAAGGTGAACCCGAAGATTTTAAGCGTAGTACAGGCGCTAGAAAGTCGTGGTTTGATTCGCTGACCAGACGTAAGGGAAAGGCTAATAAACAGAAAACGAGTAATGGTGTGAAGGAATCGGCGTTGTAGTGGCCGGGTAGTTTTTCGTGTACCACTTGATAGTATTCAATATATTTTATTATGAAAGCTAATTTACTATAATAATCGTGTGTGATTGCAATTATTTAATATTTTAATTATAATTTTTAAAAACATTTTTCAAACCTTATTATGTAGTAAATAAAATATTTTAAAATTTAAAATTCTTAACCAACTTATTTACATTGAGTATACTGGTACAGTATTAGAAATATCTGAACACGGTCAGAGTTTGAATATTAATTATTTTATGTACTGGATATATTATTTTTAATATAACATGCCACAAATTCTTTAAATTATTTATTATATTAAGATTATAAAAGTATTATTAAATACATGAAAATAGTAATTATGTTTTAGCATTAATGTGAAATGCAATCATAGGGTCTTCCCACGTGTTGTCCACAAATATATGTGCCGTTCCCTCACTATCAACAGTTAATGTCCTACCCGTGCACATGCCATCTAATATACATATTATATTTTAGCATTAATGTGAAATGCAATCATAGGGTCTTCCCACGTGTTGTCCACAAATATATGTGCCGTTCCCTCACTATCAACAGTTAATGTCCTACCCGTGCACATGCCATCTAATATACATACAAATTATTATGTAATCAATAAACAGTATATAAAAATCTAATACACTATTAAAATACCGATTAAACCGCCGGATATTATATCACAATAAGTACCGCCCGGTAGACCCGTACTGTTAGTCATATCAATGGGTTTCACGTCATTATTGATGGCTATAAAGGCTTTATTGCCGCGACTGAAGGCTATCTGATTGTTGGTGTTGTCCCACCACTGGGTTACCGGTTCACTGCCCGCTATATTCCTAAACCCAACCATATTATAGATGGGACGCCACCTGTGCTCACAAATCCATTGACTCGCATCGCAACTCAGATCCGGATTACGTTTCACATCCAATATACGATCGCCGGAGTCATGGGGAGGTCCTATGTCCGAGTTTCGGTCGACATACCTGTCCCCTTGTTTCTAGTGTTTGAGATACCATTATGTTAGTCACATAAAGGAGAATGGTATAATAGTTTATATGTGGTACACACCTCTAGTTTCCTGGGCCAGTAGTAGCTACTCATGACCCGGGGTACGGCGTATGGCCAGGCTAACATGAAAGCGGTGGTCATTTTGTGTAGTCGGGGCTCGAAGAAGGTAACGGTGACGTTGAGGTCGCCGGCATATCCTCGCTGGACGTCGTGGTTGTCGACAAATACTACAGAGTCCTCCGTGGCTAACATACCCCAGCCCTTAGGCCCGTAGTCTCGTAGGTCACTCAATCGGTGACCATTTAGGCCTCGAAACACCCTGGCTAAGTTAT